AACAGATTCAAGTTCCTGTTGTAGATCATCTATTCTCTGAGCATAGTTCATGTTTGAGTTTCGACGACATTGAGAGATTTCTTTCCTGCATTCCCGGGTCTGATCCATTATTGTATAATTTTGACAATGTCGTTTAGAGTTCCAGCCACGTAATACATAGTCATCGAAGTTTGGTTGAGACAGCAGCCTCTTGTCAAACCTGAACTGATTTCGTTTACCCGGCGGAACAACAGCAATATAGGCAACCACATGTCAATGATCTGAACCATATAACCCCAAAACTCTGCTTCAGAAGCTAGAAAAGATGCTAAGCACTCAGAATTGATGACAACTCTATCCAGCACTCATAAATTTTGTGGTTGTAACGATTTCCAACCCAAGAGAACTTATTACTTGGATGCTTCAGATCAGAGAAATCACACGACTGTACATATTTCTGAAATCCCTGAAGGTCCAATAATCTCGAACTGGCCACCAAATTTCTCCCGATTGGAAAAAATTTCATTAAAGTCACCAATTAACATCCAAGGATCATTCCTTACTCTCGCAGTTCTTTCCAGACTTTCCCAAAGCTCATGTCTAAACTTTTGAACTGGGTTCCCATAAACACACGATAAGAAGAAATTCAAACCATACCCTTATATATGAATAAAGACAACTAACTGAAACATCCTTCTTCAAATCCTAAAGAAACTGAAAACATAATCAAATCCTAAAGAAACTGAAAGATCCCTAACGACATCAGACACATTCTTCGTTTCAACTAAAAATAAAATATCATGCCTGACTTTTCTACATAACTCCTTCATCCTTGGCTCTATTACCAACCTGCCCAACCCTGACAATTCCAGGAGCATATCTTGGGAACAATGGGGGTTTTGGGCCCCTCGCACCTCTGTATATATGTTGGTTGACTGAATACAAATCATGTGATTCTTCCGCATGATCTCTCTTCTTAAACGGGCTATGGGCCAGCTAATCATCGCCCCTTAACATGTCAATAAGAGGTCTTCGACTATCTGTCTCTTGCGCTTGTTGAAACCAGAGCCATCAGCCATATATGCTTCAAAGACATCAGCAAAATCCTATTTGTGGAACTTCCCTTTAGATTTTCTCAAAGCAAGCGTGTGGAGTTCATCATCCATCTATGCAGTAGTCGGTCCTTCCTGAACAACAACCACATCCTGAGTAGGCCCCTGAACAGGGTCTTTCGGCAGCCTCACAGAAGGGCCCTCCACCGAAATATCAATTGGAGCACACGTCGGCGTTACCAGCAGGTCCTAGATCATCTCATAGATCCCCATTATCAATTTAATGGACATCTTCATCATCATCAAAGCGCAAAGGGCACTCTTTTTTGTCACGAGAGAGCATACCACACGTTTTGCAGTAATTCTGTAGTCTTTTAAACTTGAAATAAAGGATAGTATTCTCATCATTACCAAATTGGAAAGCCCGTTGGAATCGCATAGGCTGATTGATGTTCCACAGAAGTTGAACACAGACGAAATAAACCCGTGTTGAATTTTTATCAAAATCAGTATCGAAGATTCAAGCAAGCTTCTCACCAATGTATTCGATCATCTGGCGTCATAGAAACTGAAGAGGAATGCCTCTAATTTGAATCCAGAAGGGGATGATCTTGCAGGCCTCATCGGGAAGAATTGGAGTCCAATGGTGAACAATGATCATCCCATCGACAAAGTACCAAGGAGCATGCCGGAGATGAGATGCATTGCTTCCTCCGATCGAAAAAGGAACTGGATTTTGTTGGGGTCAATGATCCGACCCGTGACTGATTCCAAATTCCAGAACCAAGGCAGCTGATCAGTCATAACCGGTAACTTCTGCTTCAAAGGATCCACCGGATAAACCACCAACAAAAACTGATTGCTTGTCGCTTCTTGTAAACAGAGAGAGCTCGACAACGCCACTGGAGGATCATTTATTCCAAGATTGATATTTTGCGTATTGCTACTAAGATTGTTACTCATGATTAAATGTGAGAGCAGATGAAAGAAATCAATTGATTTGGCGACTGAGAAGTTGTGTAGAATCTATTGAATCAGAGATTCTTATATAGAGATTTGGCCATAGCGGTTCCCAAAAGCACGACGAGATCGTAGGGAAATGGAGGGGAAAACCACTAGAAATCAAGCAGCGCATAACACAGTAAAAAAAAACCGACACATAGAGGGCCAAGAAGTAGTGGATCTATGATCAGACAGCCAATCTCACAATCGGAGTAAACGGTTATCAAAATCGCACAAAATCTCTGTCATTGCATCATTTAATAAAACGTTTTTTTATGTCATCACTTTTGAACGCTTTGTAATTTAATTAAGGCTAGACTATGAATTTTTTCGTAACCTACTTTTAAAACATTATTAATTGATCGTTCCTTAAACTTGTTTCTGAAAAATCATATATTCTAAATTCACATTCATATGTCCAATCAATCTATTCACACAAATTTGGATATAGAACTGAACATTACCACTCTTAATCTTTTTACCACTCTTGTTGATCCTGAATGGCTAATTCATTTTTGTTTGTTAGCTATGCTATTTTATCTTTTAATCAAACCTCTCACAATCTTGTTTTTTCCGTTTCGTATATGCAACTATGTGCAAAAACGTTGGAGAAATAAACGAAACTGATTAATAAAAGTGGCTTTCAAAAGCTCTGGAACAAATCAGCTAGCTATTTGAAATAAATCAGGTGGCAAACCATCAGCTAGCTCCACTGCAACTGCAGTAGTTATAATGAATTTGTTCACAAAAGATAAACAAACTCTGTTTTTGAGAACTCAGTTCGAATAAGCAATTAAAACTTTTAATTGGCTAATACACATTCATAGAAATCGCCTATACACATTCATAGAAATCACCTAAAAACATTCATAAATGTTTATAGATCATAAGGATATGTATAGACAAAAATTTTGTAAACCTACCTAAGGCTGACGCAAAAATTGTTTTCTATCTTTATAATAATAGTCTGATTTTATGATCAAACGTTATGCCGTTAGCTATAAAGCATTCGCAGAATAGTTATACATCGATCAGAAAACGTTTTATGAAATCATTTTGGAAATATTGTTTGCAATATTCAATCCGATTAGCAGAAAACAAATTTAATGTATTAAGATTGTAAACTAAAATCACAAATCTAAAAAATGAAAATATTAGATAATGAAAAAGATACTCGACCCTTTATGTTTTAAAGAATTTATTAAGAGTTAATATGGAGAAGATACACCCTTTAATAAGTTAAAGAATTAAGATCTTATCTTCTCCATTTTCAACTCTTAAAGCAATTCATCATTCAAAATTTGGATATCACATGAGAGTAAGTTAGTGACAGCAACATAGAGTTAAGTCATTCTAAACCCAAAAAGAATCGTGTGCCTGACACTTAACTCCATTAAGGATGTTCCTCCATACACAAGAAAGGTTGCAAAAGTCAGATCATCTCAAGCTTGTACACAAGAAAGTAAACTAGCGGTAATTTCTAAGTCAAATATATTTAATCTGTCTCAACCGTATTTGTTTCCTCCATCAAGAGACGGTAGTCTCTCGTATCTTTAATTCATTCTCAATTCACACTGCTATATTTCTCGACTCTTATAAATATAACTGTATTGCTACAAAAAAATAGAATTAACATGTTGCATCTTTGTTACAACTAACAAATAAAAGTTAAGAAAAGAATCTGAATGGGTTTAGAATGAAACATTGGCTTCGTTTCGCTTGTTGGGCATGAAAATCAATAACCGGAGCTGACCTTCCTGACATAACTTGACAGGGTTCCTATGCTGTGTGAGATTGCATTATTGTTACCTAACAAAACATGAGCAATAATGTAACTCTCTCCTTTCTCATTTGCAAATTGCCATTCCCTCACTGACAAATTGAAATAGTCTTTCCGTGTAGACACCGTTGCTTTCACCTCCACGTACTCTGTTTTACCACCTTTGCTTTCAATCATTAGGTCATAAGGCAGACCTGTTTCGCTCTGCTCGTTAACCTATCTAACCACACACTCCTTGCCGCATGTTGCAGAAAAGTATCTGTAAGCGATCTCTTCACCTTTTTTACCAGTCTGTTGCACTTGTGCAGCCCAAGGTGTGCCTGTATGAAGTTGATCTCTTTCGCTGAAGTCAGCTGCGAAAGCATTGTTCCATCCATGAAGAAGGTTTGGATTGAGGTTAAAAGCAGCTTGATTCCCTGAGGTTGAGGCATTGTTCGTATGCATAGAATGCAATAGGTTTAGCTAACTAGCTTGTGCACTATTTTCATATCCAGAAACCATGTTTGTATCGGTGATCTCGATTGGTGTTTGTTCCTCAAGAGCCTCTGTTACAACCTCTTTGCTGCTGCTAAGCTGACCAGAGGCCACCTCTTGTTTAGAATCATCAGTGTGGGTCTCCCTAGAACCATGTCTTGTTTTGGAACTTGAGAGTAACCAGCTCAAGGTTATTCCAGCTTTCTTCTTGGCATTAAGAGCAGATTTTAGGAACCAGATCTCTTCATCATCAGGAATCTTCTGAACTTTTTGACTGTTTAAAATGAATGATTCCATTTGCTCCTCACTCAAACCAGATTCTGCCATTGTATTGATCAAGTGACAGAAATTTGCCAAATGCAAATCAGGAACTCCGTTGAAAAACAAACAAGACAGTTCCATGAACAATGAATGAGAATCCAGCTGTGGTGTTGTGTACAGAGCTTTATCCTGAAGACAACAAGATCAAAAAATTAATATTATCAGCAAAGGAAACAACATTCCAGTATCGGAGTTTGCATCGCATCGCCTTGACGTATCACATTGCAGTTGCTCACAATAGTAAATCATCAATGACAAAGCACATGCCAATTTTTTACTTGCATATAAACAGATAGGAGTTTCAAATAGCCTAAAAGCCAATATGATGGCCCTAGAATCCAGATATATATTAGATAGGTTATTGCAAGAAACATAAACGAAAGAAGACACACCTACAGAAGAGAGCTGCATTTGAACTCCTTTTTAGAGCTAATGTCATATTGCGGTATGACATTCCTATAGCATAACTTCTCAACGACAAAGACTTGTAGACGCTTGACTTGACTATAGACTGTCATTTTAGTTTCGGTATACTTATCATGATGCAGAGTAAAGATATATCGCTGAGCATAAGGCAGAGCCCAGTTCACAAGTGACACTGTTACACTATTATCTTGCAAACCTTCATATTTTGCTTCACGCTTTACCACCTGGAAAAAAACATCAGAGACTGCATTGGAGGTGTGGCCATTGAAACTAGTCATAATAGAGAAGGCGACAAAATATAAGTTTTGAAGCAACATGATGATAGTTCTCGCAAATGGTTTAGGAGTCACAATTCAAGAAAGTCTTACTCTTGCCATTACATGTATATTCAATATATCTTTTGTGCAAAGAGAAGATTAGTTACCTCAGAAATACTTGGAATGCCCAAGCTGTGCATCAGCACATATAATTTTGTTTGAAGCACTTCTTGCTCTTCATCTGAATTTTCCCGAAAGTAAATAAACTGAACATTATCCTTCTTTTTAAATCTCTTCTTTAACTACTCATCATCACACCAACATACGAGACCGAACGAGGAGTGTAAGGAAACCCACTTATCACTTTCAGTAGGAAGCACATTGTAGTCGAGTTTTGAAAGTCTCTCTTTGAATTGAACAACATCTTCGGAACATTTTCCAGAGTTCAAGTCATCACTCCATTTCAGGAAAATTTTGAAGACCTAGACATGAAGTTGGCACTTTAGCAAAGAAGAATATAGATTTACGATAACCAGGACGAGACTGATTTGGTAAATTAAAATAACTTACAGCCTTGGCAGCACATGAGGGTGACACATAATGTGCGAACTGCCCTAGAATTTTGAGGTACTCTTGGAAAGAAGGCTTTCAGAAACTCCACACCCATTCACAAAAAAAGTCATGGAGACCTGGATAGATATTAAGCAATGTTTTCCGACGCAATGATTCCAAAACACTGCTGATCTGCGAACTGATCTCTTTTATATCATCTAAAACACCAACAGAATCGTTCCAGTAAACATCATCAAGTGATAAGAATATACCAGATATCATATCATTCCGCCTACTTCCAGTTATGTGTGGGACAAATACAGAAGGGAAATCATGGAGCTTTTCAGTAATTTTCTGCTCTGAATCAGCCATTTCATTCCACAAAAATCCGTAAAATCTGGGAATCTTAGAGATGCTGCAAAATAAAAGACAATGTTGTACACTGTTAGGAATTGCAAACACTTGACTACAAGAAGCTAATTGCAATAATATAGGGAAATAAATAGCTCATTTCAAAAAAACATTATATGGACAATTTATCTGAAGTTCACAAGTCTCTGTTCGTTACACATAAAATTCATTAAGAAAATTATAGAACTCAATACTCATGTCATCAGACCTAATATTTTATTGATAAATAATAATCAAATCACCAGAATAAACGTCATATATATCAGCAGTACATTATCCAATGCACGATTAAGTCTTCCTTTTTTTGTAATAATGTGGAAAGAAAACAAATTAAGAATGACACCAGATGTAGTGCTCAAGAAGCTCAAAAAATATTACTAACACCATAGAGTTGTACCTTGATTTAAAAGAGTCTCCACGGTATACCCAAGCTTCTAGAATTTCCAGAGCATCATCGAGGCAAACTTTGGTCTTCAAACCAATATCATTAAGTAACTTGACACTTGTAACCTGTTCCACAGTAACCCAAATAGAGGGGACAAAAGAAATGAAAAAGGTTAAGCAAATAGACAGAAGAACTCCTCCACTAAGTAAGACACTGTAGGAGGTCCATATGGTGATAATCACATCTAGCAAGTTTTAAGATATCTAAAAAACAACCCATTCCACAAAGAACCCACACCTCTAATTAAGTTTCAAGACCACATGTATTTTTATATGTACATTGGAAAGGACTCGAACGCCAATTTATTCACTGCTTATTTTAGAAAATAATAGTTGTTATAGCAAGCACATTATTACATAAGGGATACAAGACCAAACCAACCTTGGGAACTGCATATGGCGCATTCATGCCAAGTATTGACCGCACATCATCACAATCATGATAGAAGTCTTTCGCAAGATGCAATTTGTTGTCCATGCTTGACACTATCCATTTAGAATCAAAAATTACCCTCATAAATGAAGATTGTGATGATATGATGACACCATTCACACCCGAATTATAGGTAACAGTTGTTTTGTCATGGTAGCAATCATCCCACAGTCTATCAAGGACTTCCAAGAGATACTTGCAACCTTTGCGGCCATTACTTTTGTGCAAGAGAGACAAGAGATCAACTAGTTCCGGGGATTCCCAGTCTCTAACAACTAACTCGGGAGATAACAAGTTGGTATCATACTTTTCACAACGTGAGACAGAATAGAATTCAGTAATGCTCTTTTCAACTTGAACCACTAGAACAAAATCACCAATTCCCGCCACTCCTTTAATCCACATGCATAATATTTTGATGCGGGATGTTTCAAGTAAGTACCATCAACCACATGCCACGATATATCCAAGTTTTTGGTAAGCTTCTTCATGTTAACTTGGTTTTCAAATTCCTCACTGAAATGAATTGACGCCTCAGCTAGCTGCTTCAACCCAAAATTTGACAATATCAGAGCTTTGCTTCTTAACACCGAAATAATGTACTTCCTCTCGTTATGACAAACATGGTAGCCAGATCGTAAATGGGTCATCACAAAGCATAAGTAGTCTACCATCAAACCCTCCGCTGTACCACTATTTTTCGCCTCGAATGCTGGTAATATATGCACTTTGATGATTTCATGTGCTGATAGCTTTTGAATGCCAATTGCGCAAATCATGTTTACGAGGTCATCCACAGCGGGTTTTTCATCAACCGAAGACGCTAAAAGAAGCGAATGATCAATGGTTCGGAGATTTCCATATAATATAGGAAATACTTCAAATACATCACCAAGATCAGACTCAGTGGTGTCATGGTGCAACCATACGGCGCCCTCATCTAAAGAGGTGAACTTACCATTTGAGAGGGGTATAAATAGGGTCTTTCGAAGGCTGCCTATAAGAGTTTTATCTACACCTAACTCTACATTACCATTCCCAAAAGAACATAATAGTACAGAAAATTCAGTTAGAATAGACGATAACCACGCAAAGCCCATCGATTGCAGACAACCTTTCTTGTGACTCAATGAGGAAAGAATCTGCACCAAAGTTTTAGGTCCATAGTCTTCAATGCCCAGTTCCCTTGACAGGGAATCTGAAAAAACTATATCTTTGTCCAAAAAACCCAGAGCAAGATGCTCCTGAAGCAATCCATCCTTAAGAAGAACCCTTATCTTTTCATTCCAATTTCTTAAAACCTTGCAAGGAAGAACCCAGTGTTCACCGTCTCCCTCAAGCAGCAAGCAATTTGTTGTTCTCAATCTAGATATAATAAAATGAGGGAGAGACGAAAAGAACCCATGAACTTCCCCAACGAGAGGTACAAGCTGCATGTATGAGCACACAGCTTTACCCAGATTCTGGGTGAAAGAAGGAAAACTGCAAGAGGACCTTAAAGCACCTACAAACAAACCCGGAAATTCTGACAACAACCACTGGTTCCAAAGACTATCCTCATCAACATCCTCTCTTGATGAGGTAAGAATGAAATCCCCTTATATAATAAATTTCAAACCATAGGTCCTTAGAGGAAGAAAAGCAAAAACGGGTTCTTGAATCATGCATGATCTGTAAGTTCCATCTTCCAGGATATCAAGAGTGAATCATATGGAGATCTCTGTTGTCTGAACGTCATCATGAAGATTGGCAGCCTTTAATTTCTCTGATGCCACAAACCATGTCACGCTATTTTCCCCACATGAAACCTTTACGACATTCTTACTCACAACCTCTTTCCGCATGACCAAGAGAGAGTCGTCAAGCATATTTCTGTATACTATGCACTGGAGGCGATGCAGGAAGAGTAATAAAGAAGGATGAAGGTCTGAAAACAAAGGCTTAATGTGATTCACTGTTGTTCTTTAAGAATCAATGGCTCTGAAAGGAAGTGTAATGCAAGTGTTCCATCTTGCATCCTTCAGTTGTAAAGCACGGCCAGATAACATGCTGGTTAGTGAATCAATATCATGAGGAGGTACGACAGTCGGTAAAATGTATCCAATCTGACCCTCACTTATATCAAACTTTAAATGGAAACCATTTGAGTGGATTTCAGGAGCATCAGAAATCTGGAAAGTGAACCCAAGGAAAAATGTTAGAAGTTCATAACGTCTTTCAAGCTAACATAACTTTAAGGACATGTTTCGAAATAGATATTCCCGTGGCCATTTCTTAGCTTAGCATACTATAATCCTAAAATCATTTAAGATTGGATTGAACAGTCGCATAAACAACAAAATTATACTCTATAAGATGAATTCTCTTTGTACATACCCGAAACACTGACTTGAAGCCAATTCCTTTCTTCCCTATGTATCCACCAGATCCTTTCTTTGTTGATCGACCAACATCACACAGGGCCCGAATGTTCTCAGGCATGAAACCACACTCGTTGTTTAAAACGAAAATTCCAGTCTTTTGAAGAATGAATGTGAGTGTGGGTTCCACATGTTCAGGGTACTTATTGTCATCAGCATTTTTTAAACCTGAAGCAACAAATGGGATGTCCTTTAAATTTATTCTGTTAACACGAATAGTGTGATAACTAAAACATCTAATAACCAATGATATTGTCTATCGATCTTATTCAACAGAAGAGAAACTATAGAAGTCCCTGACATGGCTAACAAAAATATGAATACTAATTAACCCTCCCCATTACAAGGATAATGATAAACATCTACCAGTTGACAGCATAACGGTATTGTCTAATTACAAATCATCTAGGGCAGAGTAGAAATCGGTTATAGGAGACACAACATGAGATTGCACCAACTATGTATTCAAGAAACCCCGATTAACATGCTTGTAAGAAGATTATGACGAAGGAAAGAATTCTCACCAGTTCAAGAATAAAGTGTGAATCTTGAGAATACAATTCCTGGGACAAACAATGAAGTGCTCTTTCTAACAGAGCATGTTGTTTCTGCAGCATACTCGCCTCAGCACCAGAAGAACTTGAATCCAGCCCAAACCCATCCCGTCTGATTAAATCAATAACAGAAGCCGGATTATCAAGGTGCACAGTTTGGGTGAAAGCCTCCCCATTATAATTACAAAGAGCCCCAGAACCACCAGAAGTGTGACAAGATTCCTGAGTTTTTGCATTTTTTTTCACACGAAATCTCTGATACGATCATGCATCTTTGGTCAGTATGAATCAGTCCTCCAATTCATTTTGCACAAAACCTACGTCAGAATCTACGTTGCCAGAATCTAAGCTGGACGAAGCATTTTCTACTGTCGCAGAGATCGGCGAAAATGATGAGCAAAACTTATCGTAATCATTAATCCACTCAACAATGCCTAGCACCAGTTTCGGCATCATGCAGCATGATGCGCTGCTCCGGGTCCTCGCATGCAGACAAAACGCTTACAGGAGCATCTTTAACAATAGAACGTAATCCCGATAGCAGGACATCAAGAGCTAAACTGCGAAACTCCCCATGTAGATAGCCCAGACAATCAAGAAGAAACTTTTAGGCAGCATAATCACCTTTATCCACATTAGTTTTCTGTTCTACACCTATCACAAGAGAATTCCTATCATTTAGCTTCATCTCCTCCGAATTGTTATCGAAAAATACATCAAATGCACGTTTTGCATAGCATTTTAGAAGGGAAAATGGTAGATGTGTTCATCCATTCAATGTTATCAACGACAACAACTGCGCAGCAGTACGGTAAGCAGATCCTTGAAGAGCAGCCTCTAAAAATGAATCTGCTGTAGCAGATGGATCTGTCCGGATAATCTTACCATCCCATGTCACTAGACACAACAGCTCTTTTGAATTAATCTCATTCAAGTGCCCCAAAAGAGGACCAAAGTTTGGAGCAAACTTAAGATCCCAGTGACACCATGAGTTTAAGTCTGACAACAACGGAACCTTGAGCAAAACATCTAACACCTGTTTGGATGAAACAGAACTAAAAAGGCTGCTTCTTGATTCAGTATCATTTCCTACTGTCATGGATTCTTCTAGATCCTTACTGGTCAAAGAGTTTTTAGCTCCCAACAATGTTGAAGAAAAGAGGATACATCTTGAACCAGATTTATTCTTGTAGCTACTAATGATTTCAGTAATACTTTCCTCTGAATCTTGTCCTACAACCTTGAAATTGATTGATGGAAATTGTTCTGCAAGCAGTCGAGCTACCATCTGTCTAGATATTACACTACTATATGAATATTCAGAAGCTTGCGATAGCAATAGAGTCATCAGACTTTCACTCACGTGGACCTCCAGAGGAACCTCTTCCCGTAATTCTCTAGATAGAAACCTTTGAAGGTGTGTTGGTAGCAGCAACATATGTTTTTCCAAGAAAGTTAAAAACCCACCCCAACCAAGAGACTCAATTCTGGACTTGAAATTGATCTGCCAACGAAACCTCGCAAGTCTGTAGCCTCCTTAAGATACTAATGTGCTTCTCTCCAGAAAGATCATGCTCAAAATACAAGGAAAGCCTTCTGATAATTTCTTCAACAGAACAACCTAATAGATAAAATTGATTAGATTTCAAAGTGCAAAAGATGTGACAAGCACCGAAAGACTGCCACATAAGCTTGTCAGATAATGCCTAATTCTAAGAAAACAGTTCCCATCCGATTATAAATTCTTTAGGCTGTATTTTTGATGCAGATACTTGGTTGGTCAAAAGAAAATAAATGAAGTACTTATCATGATGCTACAATAGATTTTGATCAAACAATTGAATAAGATTTTAAAACAACAATAAACCGAGAAGATAAATAACAAATGTATTCTCACTGTGCTTTGGAGGCGCAATATGCTGAGTTTCACTTAAATCAGTGTTTTCATATGGCATAATATCATCTACTTGATTTCCTGAGCAAGGATTAACCGTATCACTTTGGATCAGCGTTTGCAAATTATCATATTTACTATCGCACATTCCATGTCGCATTGAGGTTACCTGCAAATGCAACACAAGAAACAAATAATAGAAGTGAAAATTAAAGAGAAAACATCAGTATAATGTCCTCCTTCAACATTTTACGTCATGCTACACGTGTACGAACATAGCTTTAAGAGCAAGTTAGCTTTCATTTGAACAGATAATATTTTCTACTTCTTTTTTGCTCGAAGTAAATAAAAAGATATATTCTTTCACAACAAGACGAAAAAGTACTCAGCATACTTCATTTTAAATAACCATTATTATCTGCTCATTCTACTGTGTTTCAGTAAAAAAAAAAACGTTAGTCATAAAATAGGAAAAAAATCACATAGAACAAGATGATCATGATTCAGCATAAAGAGTAAAGTCGATCCACAAAAAACATCTATACTGTTCCAACAGTCATAAAAATCAAGCTATTTTGTATTTAACAGAGAAAGACAAAAGCTAATCTACAGAAAACAAGTACACTCTGCGACATATTTCAATTTTTAAAAATAATTTCATACATTTAAAAGATGCAACCTATAGCATTGTTTTAGTTGAACACTAAATAAATAAATTAAAGAATAGTGAAAACAAAACCTGTAGAACAAACTCCTGAAACAAAATAAAACTACTATTTAATTACGGCAAACATCTGCAACTTTTTCTCATTAGCTAAAAGAAATGAAATGATCAAAAATAAGAAAGAAAGAAAAAAAAACAAGATAATATTCCCCATTGCACCCTTGCAGTATTACTTTCTTGTGATTATTTACAGGAAAAAAATCTGATTCCCAAGAATAAACAAAGACAATGCAGACACTTCTGGAACGCAAAACACAAACCTGCAGACACTTCTGGAACGCAAAATATAAACTCCATATCAAATTCAGGTTGTAAAATAGAAATAGCAAGGAAATTTTCATGCTAGCAACCACGTTTCAATATCAGTTTCAGACATCTCACAGATTATCCAGAGTAGTTTATTTTTATCCTTTTCCAACCTGCCTCATTGATATTGTGATGTGCACATGCAGAATCAAAGAGCAAAGCTGAACTAGGAAAGTTTCTCCATTTGCCGAAGTCCAAGACTTTGCAACTGGGTGCTAAGTCGCAGAGCAAAGGCAATGAGGCTTGAACCACGGAAAAAAAGAAAAGAAAAAAACAGAAGGAACCGAAAAAGAAAGAGAACAACAACTCAAAATCAACTAGTTGTAGATAGTGAGCCTGTGTTACACAGTGAAACTATCAAATATCTTTTCAACTGGGAAACAAAAACAACAAAAGCAGCAAAATGTAAAATGGAAGAGTGGAGCAAAAAATGAGTTTGGATTGCAAAGGTGAAACTATCTTTCATCTTTCAACTCGAAATTACATACTCACTTCACACAGACCTAAGACTCATAAACCACATCATTTGGCACATTCAAGGTGACGGAAAACAACAACTTTTGAGGCATAAAAAAATAAATGCTGGCTTATCTAAGGAGGGATCTCTTAAATGTAGTAGCCAAGCATCTTTTTCTGTTTAATTCAAACTAGGAAAAAGGAAAAACCAGCTATACAGAGAACACAAAAGCAAATTTCCAAGACAAAAATACATCCTGGAATTAGGAGCATTAACCGAGATTGCTAACAATTTTCTTCAACTGGACTAATTAAAGTAAGGAAACAAAAGAAAAACGTATCTAAAGAAATCACATAAAAGAAAAATGCAAAAGTTTTAAACTAAAGTAATATGACCACTTACAGCGACATTAAGTAATCCAACAAATGGAAATGATGACATCGGTTTAGCTCTTTCATTCTGAGATCGTACTTCAGTGCCCCCTAACTGGTAATGAGTCAACAGCTTAAGATAATTCAGTCTCAGATTCAAGCAAAAAGATTTATCTGATATATGATTCAAAAAGTCATACAATCTTGATATACCCAACATGAACTTACTGTTGAAATGCTTAGCTCTTTACATGTATCCTTCCAAGTTGAAATGAAATTTCTCAAAGCTCCTTCATAAAGTGTGAAATCAGCCTCATCGACACTGAAAATTTTCTTAGCATCAGAATCCTCAGCTGATTTAGGTATCTCTTGTTTCGCATCTCCTTTATGTAATTTAGAGAGGCCTCTTATAAGCACTTTGAACGAATCAGATTTTTCATGACTACGACGTTCAGCCTTCCTTTTCTTACTGGAGCCCCCCAAACCGCTTCATCTCTTCCGCAACAAATGGATATGGACAACTACTAGTATGGTCAAAACTATTAAGTTTTCCAACCTCATAATCAAAACTCTCATTCACATCTGAGCTTGATGAATCAAATCTTGTATGCTTGCCATGATAATCCTTATGATGTAAAGCAAACGAGTCAGCACGCTCAAAGATAGAAAAGGGCTTATTTTTGCGGTTGTTTCTTTGATGATGGGATGTGATACTTCTGATGCACTTCAGTTAGTAAGATTTTCAAAGTTTCACCTTCTTGTCTCTTCGCGTCTTGAATGAAAGATACACACATCCTAAAAATGCATTGATCACAAATAATCAGTTAATGCAGTTCATACTAGGAATAAGCGCAATCTGGTAATCTTTTACAAAACCATATCCAACATTTCAACAAAAAACAAAAAGAGAACATATGCAACCAATTGAAACAATAGAATTTTGAGAAGACATTCCCATGTAACACACATAGAAACTAAAAAAAAAACGAATGGAATGGGAACAATACCAAATTTCACAAGAATGAAATTAGGGAACAAATTTCAAAAAATGTACATGAGTGCAGATAAAAGTTACTCCTTTCTACCTAACAACAATATATCAAACGAGCACATCACTGATGTTCAAGCCCTCAATCGATTTAAGGCACAGCAAAACTCTCAAATAAACCGCTGGATTTGTGAAAAGTAAACCTCTTAAAATCAACTTTACCGATACTATCAAAATATTTGAATCATAAGCAAGTTTAGATAATCCAAAAGAAAGAACATCATACCGCAAGCTCTGAATATGCACACCAAGCTTATCCTTGCTTGCAACTGATTTTTTACTAGCAACAAAATTCAGGAACTCATCGACCATGACATCATCTGTCATATAAGTGTTCAGATAGCTATCAAGAAACAATATAATCTCCTCACTAGTGATCTGAACTAGGCCAAAAGAGCTGGATATAGATGGAAAATAGAGCAAGACTAGTGGATGCTGCAGCAAAGGTCCCAATTCCAGATCCTCGAAAGAATCAACAAACTTGTTTCTGCATATCGCCACTTCCAAATCATGCAGGGTCACAATTCTTCTAGCCCCAACATAGCAGTGAATAAAAGCATTAACCTACCAAGACATCAATGAAATGCATATGATTGCTAAAGTTTCAAAGCGTTGAAAGAAGAGAAAATCAACATGTACACTAATTGATTGAGAAAGATACACTAAACCCAATTGCTATGGCACTTCATATGAACAGGAAGTTAACATATTACAAGCTTACCTTGCCTTCAAGGGCCATAAGTTGTCAAAGAGAAGGAATCTCTTGCATTTGCACTCCCAAGGTACGCCAAGAATCAGCTTGAAGCTCCTCTAGAACTGATCGCGACACTCTAGTCGAAGAAACGCTCTCTCCAGCAGCAATCACTGATATACGCGTCATGTTCACGGCTTTATCAATCCGCAGAACTTCTACTTTGCGCTTTGGTTTTGAGGAAGACTTCTCCGAAGATCCGTTCCCTCCATGGTTCCGAGACCCGCCACTATCATCAATGCTTATACGGGTAATAGGAATCGGAAGAGTCACGCTTAAGGAATTAGCGCTCTCCCCAGGAGCCATATTAGATTTGGGGGTCTCGTTGACGACTACATCGGTCCCATGTATTACCTCTTGACGCCTTCGTTTCAATGAAGGGCTCTCGAAAGCTCCAGCTCCGGTTGCTCCACGGTTATGAGAGCCATTGATATCGTTATTTGGCAAAGATTGAGGAGGAAGAGAGAAGCTTTGTCCATGGGATCGAAGGAAAACATTAGGGACAGCTCCAGGGGAGTATTGGTGAGGGATTTGTGGATGATGGAAGCTGGAATTCTCCTGCATTTGGTAATTAGCGTTTGCGAAGGAGAAGCCGGATAGGTCCGGGAAACTAGGGTGGTAAAAATTTGCTGGAAACTGAGGGAGAGAGTATCTAATTGGTTGTTGTTGGACACTGAAATTGGAAAACACAGGATTCTCCACCGCCTGATGAAGATATCCGCTGGGAACGCCGTTACCGTTGCCTCTTCTGCTTCCACCGTTTCCGGAGGCGCCTAGAGACCACGAGCCATCACGATTCCCTTGCATTGGTCGGCGAGGGAATAGCGACAAACAAAAGTTTGAAAAAGAAAAGGTCTACAGAAGAAGAAAAGGTTTTAACAGTTTCTGGTTTATATATGTGACACGGGAGTGAGTCTGCCTGACTCTCTATTTGCGTCGACGGATTAGGTTTAGATTGTCGAAAACAGGCTCCGCCTTAGACCATCTCCAATAGAAAAACTCTAAAATAGAGTTACATTCTTTTCTAATGTATTTTTTTACCTTTTTCTTTAAAATAAATATTTTAAAAATATTCTTTTTATAATTTATTATTATGTTTTACAAAAACTTCTATAAATTAAAAAAATTATTAAAATTAAACATTTATTTCATAAAAATGTCACATTACAATATATAATAAAATAAAATATAACAGATTTTAGTTTAATTATTACTATTAAATATTTTTTTCAACAAAGAATCAATTAAAAATTAACGTATTTCAATGTGAAAAATAAGCTTCTTTATCTTTAATTTTCTAAAACGGTCTAAAAATTATTGAAACTGATATTACTATCTTCTGCTATTTGGACATTTAAAGGTGGAGGTGGAGCTTCCTTTCTAGTTTCAACTGGCGTATTGAGATCACACTCATCATCGATGATCATATTATGTAAAATTATACATGTAGTTATTATGTAATGTAACACATTCTTTTCCCAAAAACGTATCGGTCCTTTCACAATAGTGAAACGCGATTGGAGAACTTCGAATGCACGTTCAACATCTTTCCTAAGTAATTTTTGTTGTGTGGCAAAATATTTTTTCTTTGGACCAATGAGCTGCTGAATAGTTTGCATTATTGTAGACCATTTTGGATACATACCATCAGCCAAATAATAACCATATTATATTCCTTTCCATTAATGATATAATGAATAGAAGGAACAATACCTTGAGCGAGATTGGAGAAAAGGTGCAAAGACTCCAGCACATTGATATTATTATAAGTGCATGGCATCCAAAATATGCATACCATATCCAAAGATCATAATCTACCACAGCTTCAAGAATTATAGTAGGTGATTTACTACGACCTGCGTATTGTCCAGCCCATGCGGTAGGATAATTTTTCCACTTCTAATGCATACAATCTAAACTACCAAAGCATTCCTGGAAAACCTCTTTTTTCACCAATGTAAAGAAGTCTTGAAATGTCAGCAGGTTGGTTGTTGTAAGTATTGCTCTGAAAATGTATCCACTACAGGTCGGCAATATATATTCATGCTTTCGAATGTCGTTGATTCGCCTATCTTTATGTATTCGTCTGTGGCATCCGCAGACTATATGCTAGCATCAGAAATACAACCGTTATTTTTTGAAGGGACAATAATCCAAATCTATCCATTGCATCCCTTCGTTACGTTAAGTAGTTGTCATGACCTTCAACCGCATCAATAATACGAAGAAAAAGAAAACGAGACGTATGATATCTCCTTCAAAACATAACATCTTTATAATTTGGAGTTTCCGAAAAGTAATCATTGAACAATCTATGATGTGCGCTTTCTCGATCGCGATGAATGAAAGTACGCCTGCAAACTGAGCCACCATGGATCACCTGATTTTCTTGTTGATTAAAAAAAATTGGATGGCAAAGTTGTTATTAACAATAACAAGATGTAATACTTCTTCTTCATAATCGAGACTATTGATAATTTAAGACAATTGATAATTTCCTTAGAGGATGATGGAACAGAAAAATTTGATTGATTTTAAAATCTCAAATGCATTTTGAGAGAAGATAAACAAAATAAAAAGTATGTATTTGACTTGTGATGTCAATCATAAATAAATAGTAGTATTTATAGGAATGCGATGACATTTTGTGAATTTTAAATTTTTTTCTTATTTTATATAATTAATTTTAGATTAATGGTAGACAAAATTTAAGAGAACTGCGACAATTCTTTTTTTTTTCGAACAATAAATTGCGACAATTCTTGCTATCAGCTTTATTGTTGTTTTACTCCATTTAGCATATAGCTTTGCTCTTTCAATTTTGGGTTCATAAACATTTTAATTTAAAGATTTTCTAAAACTAATTTTTAATTGGAAAACCTATGTTGAATTAATAAATCTTGTCAGTTACACTAACACAACCCTCGACTGTAAACCAACATTTACAACTTTATGCATTAGTATTTTAAACATGCATTGGTTAATTAAAAGAGCATGACCATACAAACATTATTTGGAACATGCATTGGTGAATAGATTATAGGCTTTATCATGTAAATAGAAAGTAAGCTAGTTCGGAATTACAAATTAAGAAACCCTATTATAAACCTATATGTGCTAACTTATAGTTTCAGGATGGGGGGTGCTAGGGTTATGACTGAGAGAGATCAGGATGCGGCGATGATGGAGATAGGAGAGAAAACACGACTGCTGGGGGATTCTCTGGATCCACTAGTAGTAGGATCGTGTGCGATGAAAGTAGCAGGTACAAACGCAGGGGTATACCAGTTCCAGAGATGTTGATTGATGAGGGATTTGTCGCAGAGGGATTAAGTGTGGAATTCTCAGAAGGAGAAGACGGTGAACTGGTGATCATGATCAGGAGAGAGGTCTTGGACGCAATGAACGGGTTATGGAAATAGTACATGATCGTCAAAGTTTTAGGATGTCACATCACGATTTCCACCTTGAGCCGGAAGTTATAGGAGTTGTGGAAACCTAAAAGGGTCGATGCACGTAATCGATTTATCGAGGCAGTTCTTTTTAATCCATTTTGAATCAGAGGAGGAGTACTTCGCTGTGTTGTATGGGGCCCATGGAAGGCATTTGGGAGCTATCTAATGGTCCAAGCATGGACTCCTGAGTTTGATCCACTGCAAAATGATATCATGACAACACCGGTATGGGTGCAGCTTATAAATATCCCAGTTAATTTCTATCAAAAGTACATCCTCATGGGGATAGCTCGGGGTTTGGGTAAGCCAGTAAAGGTGGACTCAACGAAGCTAAGACTTGACAGAGCTCGTTTTGCGAGAGTTTGCGTGGAGGTTGATCTTACATGATCTTAGAAAGGGACTGTGCAGATTAATGGAAAACGTTACAGTGTGGCATATAAAGGGTTATCGGATATCTGTTCTAACTGTGGTCTGTACGGTCACTTAACCCACGCATGCCCAAAGTGGCGACGGAAAGAGTAGTGGCTGTAGCCTCACCAACGAAAGGTGTTGAACCAGAATTTCTTAGACAGAAAGACGACGGCTTCACGATGGTGAGGGTATCGAGAAAGGTGGTAGAAATTCCAACGAGATCAGTGGTGTTTGAGGCGGGTGGATCCAAGAAAGATTTGGGGCGTAATCTACAGGAAATCCTGCTGAATAAGGAAAGTGAGAATATTAAGTTGGCCAATAGATTTGGTAATCTGAGCGAGGACACGAAATTAGCAGAAGTTCGTGGTCCAGAGATTTTGCAGGAGGGTAATAAGGAAAACATAATATCCTCCTCCTACAAAAGCAAAGAGAAGAGTGTGGGGCAAGTAGAGGAGATTTTGCGTGGAGGGAGTTTTGAAAAAGATAAGAGTGGCCCACGAGGGGAGAGGAAAGACAAACGGGCCGACGAAAAGCCCAATAATGGAGGGGAGAGTATTCACCTAATCGTTGTGTATGCGGCCCCTCCGATGAGTAGAAGAAGTGGCTTATGGGGACAACTCACTCGTTTGAGCATCGATGGTCCGTTGATCGTGGGTGGTGATTTTAATATCATTGTAAGGGAACAGGGGGCAACGGAAGACTGTCACCAGACTCCTTAGCTTTTGGTGAATGGATACATGAAATTTCACTGCTAGACAACATGGGCTTCAGGGAAAACACATTTACATGGAGAAGGGGCAGATCGTTTAAAATGGCAGGAAGTTTCGGTAACACATCTGCCATTTCTAGCCTCAGACCATGCACCGCTATATATACAACTGATACCGGAGGTACGAGGTAATCCGGGAAGGAGACCGTTCCTTTTTGAAGCAGCTTGGTTGAAACATACGGGGTTCAAGGAGCTGCTCTCAACTTCTTGGGATGGGAATATAAAGACACCAGAGGCCTTGCAGGCTTTGAAGGAGAGGCTTCAGAAGTGGAATAAAGAGGTGTTTGGTGATGTGAAGAAAAGAAGGAGAAAGTGATGAATGAGATTAAAAAGGTGCAGGATTTGTTAGAAGTTAACCAAACAGCGGCTCTGTTAGACAAGGAGATGGAGCTTACCAAAGAATCTGATGTAATTCTGGAACAAGGAGAGGTGCTTTGGTTTCAGAAGTCAAGGGAAAAGTGGATAGTATTGGGCAATAGAAATGCTAAATATTACCACACATCCACCATTGTAAGAAAGCGCAGAAACATAATTTAAATGCTAAAATATACTGAAGGGAGATGGGTCTCACAACCGCGGGAGCTGGAATATATGGACTTAGAGTATTATAAGAGACTGTACTCAATGGAGGACATCGACCAAGTGGTAGATAGATTGCCAGATCCGGGTTTTGTGGGGTTGACTACAGAGGCGCTACTACCTTTGAATAAGCCTTTCTCAGCAGAAGAAGTGGAACGCTCGATACGGAGTATGAGAAAGTATAAAGCTCCAGGTCCGGATGGATACCAACCCATCTTCTACCAGGATTGTTGGGATATTGTGTGGAAGTTGATGTTTAGGTTTTTAAACCTTTTGATCAATCCTAAAACATACATGTCATTGTAGTACTTGAGGTGTCAATCCACTTGGGAAGTTAATGACAATTGAGATACAAAGAACTATGTTAAGCTAAGCTAATAGGGAAGGGTTTTGATGTCTAATGATAACGACTTTTTATCATGTCAAAGAGGGAGTGATGCAATGCAACAGGAGGTTATCAAAACTCAAGCAGCACACAGTCGTAGTATAGCATGCAAGAGGAATCAATCCAACCTAGGAGCTAGAAAGTGCAATGAGAATGCAAGGATCGAGTAAAGCTAGGCAAATGATGAACGGTTTTGTAAAAATCCTAAAAACTAAATGCAACGACTAAATGCAAGGCAAAACTATTTTAAAAATTC